AATGACAAAACTTAAGGAGATATTATTTTAACGGAAAAACTGAAAAAAGTTTCAAAAAGAAGATGAAAAATAGACTTAATATTTGCAAAGTTAGTGTAAACCCATAGCAAAAAATGCAAACCATATCCTTTTTTATTATAAATGAGATCAACCCTGACATAGGGATTTTAAAAATAAAAAATTGAAATGTAAGCTTGCCAATTTAGAAAATACTCAATATGTGGTTACATATTTCCAGAGTCTCAGGAAATAAATAAGCTAAAACTTAATGTAGTGTTTCACACTCTAGTCAAGAAGCAACCAAAAAAGTCTCTATTTTCTAAACACTGGGAGTCTATGGACAAGGATATTTGTAGATGTTGCAAGTACTAGATAATAGAAAGAATTAGAATGGTAATAGAAAGAATTAATGTCCCACCTTGGCTAAGAAACAGGATAACTACTCAAGAACTGTCCCTGATGCTGCACCAAGGGAGGCCATTACACCCTCACCTTTCCCTTTCCTTCCTTTAAACTGGCGAATGGAATAGCACAGCCTTCTTGTTGCAAGAACAATGATAATTACCATTCACCTCTTTACTATAGAACATGAGATTCCGCAGAGTGAAAATTTAGTTATTGATGAGCAACAAATAATTTCAATAAGTGCCAGAAAAATAAATATTTTATCTTAAAGTAAAAAGGACTGGTTGTTCCAGATGGCCAAAGAAGATAATAAAAGACAAATTTGAGACTATATAGTATATTTTCCTTGGTTTGTTGGAAATGCTTAAATAATGAAAATTTTGAAAAAGCCCAAGTCCTAACTTGTAATTGATACTCTGGAATTATTACCAAAAGGACCTCCACTTTTTTCTTTGTGACATAACTTCTGCAAATACATAGGGGTTTACTTTGCAAAGTAGCAAACAAAATGATTACTTTTAACAATCCCAAAGAGCTGGGCATGGTGGTGCATGCCTGTAATCCTAGCATTTGGGAAGCTGAGGCATGAGGATCTCAAGTTGGAGGTCTGCCTGGGCTACATAGAAAGATTCTGTCTCAAAAGACCAAGAAGAAGAAAAAAAATTCCAGAAATTTTCTCACACACAAAGTGCACCTGATATAGTGAAAATATACCTAAAGTAAGATTCAAGAAATCACTAAAGAAGTAACTCTTGTCCCAGAATCCTTCCTAAGGGCAAAACGGTCCATGGACATAGGCTGACTAATGAGAGCAAAGCCCTTAAACGTCTTCCTAGATTGTAGAAACTGTGTGCTTTGTTTCTTGGTACATACATGAAAATGTTAGGTCACACTCTAAGGGGTTTTAACAACGTGGTGCAATTTACAGAAGACCCCTTGCCTATTTACAGCCTACTCTTTAATTCAGTATCAGAGTTACTGTTCTTGCCTCAAAATATAAGTTTCTACTAATTTAATAGAAACCCTTGGAACTTATATTAGTCAATTATTTTAAATTAGTCAACTACTAGATAATTATAGAATATTGATTACTTTCTTTCCGTATTATCATCCATTGGTGAAACACTCTATTCCCATTCCCAAATGGAGAAGACTCTTCTCCTTGTGTTTTTGCATTTCCATGGTCAGGGCTGTGGCTCAAGAGGTAGAGCACTTGCCTAGCAAGCATAAGGCCCTGAGTTTAAACCCTAGTACTACCACCAAAAATAAAAAAAAAAACGCCATCCTACAGCGCCATGGTTAGAATTTTGTGCATTTTGGTACCAACTTCAGGCTTAATATTCTTTGTTGTTTCAATCATATATGCTGACTATATTGTTTGTTGATGTTTCTTATACTTTAATTTACTTTTTGATGGTACTGGGATTTTGAACTCAAGGTCTTGTGCTTGCTAGGCAAGTGCTCTACCACTTGAGCCATGTCCTCAGCCCATGTTTCTTATATTTTAAAAGTAAGACTTGAGGCCAAGCATGGTGGCACACTCTTGTAGATAAGTCCTTGATATAAGACCTAAAACTATAAATCCCCTGGAAAGAAACATATGGGAAATTTCAAGGTGCTGGACTTGGCAATGACACCAAACGCACAGGCACTTAAAACAACAGAAATGGGATGACTCAAACTCAAAAGCTTTTGTGTATCAAAGAACACAACAGAGTGAAAGACAACCTTTGGAACTGGAAAAAATGTTTATAAATCATATCTCTGCTAAGGGGCTAATATATCCAGAATACAGGAAGAAGTCCTACAACTCAATAACAAAAGGCTCACATGATCCAATTTAAGATGGGTAAAGGACTTGAATAGGCATTTCTCATAAGATAAATACTCATGGCCAACAGCAGGTGAGAACATGTTCGGCACCACTAGCCACCGGAGAAATGCTCGTCAAAATCCCAGTGAGAGCTCACCCCATCCATTAGTATGGTAACTATAAAAAGAAATCTTTGGGAGTGCTGGAGAAGATGTGGAAAGATTAGAACCCCTGTGTGATGGTAGTGGGATTATAAAATGGTGCCATAACTATGGAGAACAGTCTTGGGCTTGATGCTTGCTTGGCAGGTGCTCTTACCGATGGAGCTACTTTACCAGGCCTTTTTTGTGATGGGTTTTTTTGAGATAGGATCTCATAAACTATTTGCCTGGGCTGGCTTTGAACCGCGATTCTCCTGTTCTCTGCCTCTTGAGTTGCTAGGATTACAGGTGTGAGCCACTGGTGCCTGGCTGGAGAACAGTTTTGAAGCTCTTCAAAAAATTAATGCAACTGCTGGGCACCGGTGGCTCACACCTGTAATCCTAGCTACTGAGGTAGAGGTCAGGAGGATCGCTGTTTGAAGCCAGCCCTGGGGTGGGAGGGAGGGTGGTGGGTGTTGTTTGAAAGACTTCATCTCAACAGAAAAGGCTGGGCATGGTGGAGCAAGTATGTCATCCCAGCTATATTAGGAAAGGTAAGCACGAGGATGATGATCCTGGTCCAGGCCAACCCAGAATAAAGTGAGATGCTGTCTCAAAAATAACCAGAGCAAAAAGGGCTGGAGGCATGGCACAAGTGGTAGAGTGCCTGTCTAGGAAGCACAGGTCCCTGAGTTCAAACCCCAGCACCACCAAAAAAAAAAAGAAGAAATAGGATTGAAATATTTTAACAGAATATTACACATTAGCCAGACTGTCTGAAATTCTTACACAGAACTTCATACAAACAACAGCAAAGTAATTTAAAAAATCCCCATGGAAGTATGTGAGTTCCAGAATGGCTATTCAAAATCTGAATGCCCAGGTTCTTAAAAGAAACACTGGTAATCTTCCTGGTTAGGAGATCCATGGAAGTGAGGTCCAGCACAAACGAAACTTCAAATGGCCAAAATTCTCAATAGAACATCCCACCACAGTAGGGACAATGTGCCATACTTCTTTAGTGTAGCAGAGGGCAGAGGACATAACCAGTTCATGGTTTTTTGTTTGCTTGTTTTTGTGGATCTGGGATTTGAACTCAGGGTTTTGAGCTTGCTATGCAGATGCTCTACTACTTGAGCCACACGCCAGCCCTTTTTGCTTTAGGTTATTTTTCAGATAGGATCTCACACTTTTTTTCTGGGCTGCTCAGAGACTTTGATCCTCTGACCTACACTTCCTTTTTATCTGGGATTACAGAAACAACCACCACACTCAGCTTGTTTGTTGAGATGGAGTCTCACAAACTTTTTGCCCCATCTATCCTCAAATTGTGATCCTCCCTACCTCCACCTACAAGTACCTTGGATTACAAGTGTGAGCCACCATGTTTTTTTTTTTAATTTTATTATTCATATGTGCATACAAGGCTTGGGTCATTTCTCCCCCCTGCCCCCACCCCCTCCCTTACCACCCACTCTGCCTCCTCCCTCTCCCCCCCACCCCCTCAATACCTGGCAGAAACTATTTTGCCCTTATCTCTAATTTTGTTGTAGAGAGAGTATAAGCAATAATAGGAAAGAACAAGGGTTTTTGCTGGTTGAGATAAGGATAGCTATACAGGGAGTTGACTTGCATTGATTTCCTGTGATGTGTGTTACTTTCTAGGTTAATTCTTTTTGATCTAACCTTTCCTCTAGTTCCTGGTCCCCTTCTCCTATTGGCCTCAGTTGATTTAAGGTATCTGCTTTAGTTTCTCTGCATTGAGGGCAACAAATGCTAGTTAATTTTTTAGGTGTCTTACCTATCCTCATACCTCCCTTGTGTGCTCTCGCTTTATCATGTGCTCAAAGTCCAATCCCCTTGTTGTGTTTGCCCTTGATCTAATGTCCGCATGTGAGGAAGAATATACGATTTTTGGTCTTTTGGGCCAGGCTAACCTCACTCAGAATGATGTTCTCCAATTCCATCCATTTACCTGCGAATGATAACATTCCATTGTGTATAGATACCACATTTTCTTAATCCATTAATCAGTGGTGGGGCATTTTGGCTGTTTCCATAACTTGTCTATTGTGACTAGTGCTGCAATAAACATGGGTGTGCAGGTGCCTCTGGAGTAACCTGTGTCACAGTCTTTTGGGTATATCCCCAAGAGTGGTATTGCTGGATCATATGGTAGATCAATGTTTAGATTTTTAAGTAGCCTCCAGATTTTTTTCCAGAGTGATTGAACTAGTTTACATTCCCACCAGCAGTGTAAGAAGGTTCCTTTTTCTCCGCATCCTCGCCAACACCTGTTGTTAGTGGTGTTGCTAATAATGGCTATTCTAACAGGGGTGAGGTGGAATCTTAGTGTGGTTTTAATTTGCATTTCCTTTATTGCTAGAGATGGTGAGCATTTTTTCATGTGTTTTTTGGCCATTTGAATTTCTTCTTTTGAGAAAGTTCTGTTTACCTCACTTGCCCATTTCTTTATTGGTTCATTAGTTTTGGGAGAATTTAGTTTTTTAAGTTCCCTATATATTCTGGTTATCAGTCCTTTGTCTGATGTGTAGCTGGCAAATATTTTCTCCCACTTTGTGGGTGGTCTCTTCAGTTTAGAGACCATTTCTTTCTTTTTTTTTTTTTTAAAAGGTTTCACATATTTATTACCACACCATCCTTAAGGTAATCAAAGAATTCCAATTTAAAACACCCAACTGTCCAGGTAGTGTGACAAGCCAGCTTGATGCCAAGATGATCGCCAACCACGGAAGAGCATAAATATGTGTGCCATCTCTCATAATTCCTTACAGACCCAGCTTGGTTCTCCTCCAGTGTCTCCTCTTAGAGTTGTACCTGATTTTGTTACCAGTTTTCATACGAATCCACTGGGGAATGGGACGATTTTGCTTTTGTTTCTTGGCCAGGAATCGTTTGATTCTGAAAGTCTTGTGAGAAGACATGGTGAGAAGCTGGGCCAAAAGCACACACCACGATGGCGGACAAAAGCAGAAGAGGGGGAGAGGGAAGGAAGAACTAGAGACCATTTCTTTTGTTGAGCAGAAGCTTTTTAGTTTTATGAAGTCCCATTTATCTATGCTATCTCTTAGTTGCTGTGCTGCTGGGGTTCCATTGAGAAAGTTCTTGCCTATATCTATTAATTCCAGAGTATTTCCTACTCTTTCCTGTACCAACTTTAGAGTTTGGGGTCTGATATTATCTGTTGAATTATTACTTAGGCCATTCCTAGGGATGATTCCTGTGGTAGTCTGTCTCTAAGATGGTACCTACTGACTCTCACCGCCTGGTATCCACACCCTTGTGCACATTGAATATGGCAATAGTGATGGTATGTTACTTCCAAGATTAGGTTATAAAAGACATAGTGTTTTCTGTGTTGCTTTCTCTCATGCCTTTAACTCTAGTGGAAGTTCACTGCCATGTTGTCAGCAGCCCTATGGAGAGGCCCGTGTGGCAAGGACCAGAGGCGTCCTGCAACAGCTACTGGGGAACTGAGACCTCCAGCCATCAGGCAGCCTATTGAGCCTTATTGGGAGGGGATCCTGCACCTCCATTCAAGGCTTCAGAGAATGGCAGCCTCAGCTGACATCTTGGCTGCTACCGCTTGAGAGACTCTGCAGATAAGCTCCTTCCAGGTTCATGACCTTCAGAAACTCTGCGATATAATTTTCTTGTTTTCAAGCTGCTAAGTTTGGAATGATTTCTGACAGAGCAATCGAGAATGAATACAATTACCCAACGTCCTTTCAAAGTGTACAAAAGCATAAAATTTTTTATGGGGAAAAAATCCTGAGAATAACAATCACATCCACAGAAACAGAACCAGTAGAGGCATTCGTCAGAGAGTCCTTCCATTACTTTGGCTGATGTGATTAGTAACACAGCTCAACATCTGAGGCACAACAAACCACTGTAAATTCTTAAACAAGTATGTGGTTATAGGCTGTAAAATGTCCTTGGATTTTCATTTGCCCAACCCAAGAAGATTTTTTTTCTTTTTGTGGGTACTAGGTATTGAACCCAGGACCTCTAGCATTCTAGGCTAGAGTTCTACCACTTGAGTCATTCCTCTTTCCTCTAAGGAAGATTCTTTACCATTGCTAGCACTGTATAGCATACCTAAGCACTGCAGGTGAATTAGGCAACCTGGCTACCTAAAATAGACTGGAAAATCTTTGAGATTTGTTTTCATGATCAGATCTGGAAAATTTGGGGTCATGGTTCTGACTTATGTTCCAGGCCCTTCCAGTTATACTAACTTGCTTCACTTGCTGTTGTTTAAGGTCCATTGTGCAGGGTCTTAAATGCTTTTGTGCACCAGCCATCCTGACTCAGCAAAAACGGGAGTAAAATCATGCCAACAGACATGCAAATTGAAAATGGAATCTTCCCCCATGAAATCTCACCTTTGAGGGAAATCTACAACAATGACAAAGATCTTTGCAACACTTGAAGTTCTCTGGTAACAACTTTGATTTAGCAAAGACCAATAGGAAGGACTGAAGATATGGACAGTCCCACAAATGTAGAAAAAAATTACTGTTTTTCTGTAGCAATGGAAACAAGTAGCCACAAGAATCAATTTTAAACCCATCTGATCAATAAAGAATAACGCACCTCAGTAAGTCCCTTGCTCAGGAGAATCAGCCCATTGGGACAGTCTCACCCCAGTGAACACACCTCTGAGTGCTAACTAATCAACTAATCAACACAGTTAACTGACTAAAGCAGATACCTTAAAAGCAACTGAGGCAAATAGGAGAAGGGGACCAGGAACTAGAGAAAAGGTTAGATCAAGAAGAATTAACCTAGAAGGTAACACACACACACAGAAAATTAATGTGAGTCAACTCCCTATATAGTTATCCTTATCTCAACTAGCAAAAACCCTTGTTCCTTCCTATTATTGCTTATACTCTCTCTTCAACTAAATTAGAGATAAGGGCAAAATAGTTTCTGCCAGGTATCGAGGAGGGGGCAGAGGGAGGGGGTGGGGTGGGAGGAAAGGGAGGGGGTGGGGGCAGGGGGAGAAATGACCCAAACATTGTATGCACATATGAATAAATAAAAAAACAAAACAAAACAAAACACAGTTAACTGAGTTTCTCCAGATGATGTGAACCCACGTACTTCCTGAAAGTCTCTCCATTACAGGCTTTCCACACTTCTCCCAACACACCTACAGAGGCGCACAGCTTGCTGTGCTGGGAGAGGCTCTGCCTGGTCAGCAAGCTCCCTTGCTGTAGTGAGCACTGGACTCAGATGGCTTGTTTCCCAGGTACTGGGTGGTGCCCTCAGCATCCTTTTGCAATGACTTCTGATTTGTTTCTCATTTTTCATTTTATTTTATTGTGCTGGGTGAGGGTACATTGTGCCACTTACAAAAGTTCTTACAATATGTCAAATATATCATACTTGAATTCAGCTCCTCCACCATTCTTCTTTTCCCCTCTACCGCATGGTTTTTTATTTTACTATTTTTTGGTGGCACCAGGGCTTGAATTCAAGGCCTCATACATGCTAGGCAGGAGCTTTTACAGCTGAGCCAGTCTGCCAGCTCATTTATCATTTTTAAATCACTTGTTTACTATTACTGTTATCAGAACTGGCAATGCTCCGGGGAGGAGCTGGATACTGAGTTTATGACTTTGTCACAAAAGCGAGTTGTAGGACACATAGAGGTAGAGACCAAGTTTATTATTAAAATAAAGCAAAAGAATAATAGAAAGATAGGACACAGCCCAGATGTGGGCGTGGGCGCATCTGATAACAGCTGCAGCGTGTGCTCTCACATCAGGAGTATTTATGATGAAAAAGTAAGTTGGGGGTTTGCTTGAACCTGCCTTAGGAAACAGTGCTCTCCTTTGTTCTGACACATGGTATAATTGGTTGCTTTGCTGTTACAGTGTATTATCAATTGGGCCCAAAGATTCGAAGACTGGCCCGCTTATTAAATTTGGGTCATTATGACTTAGATGTTTGAACATCCCCTTTAAACAAAGGATGGGTCCTGCTAGATGTTCCCTTCAGGACAGGTGTCCACCCTTGGGAGAGGTATTTTCCTTTGTAGACACTTTTTGTGCCCATAAGAGTCATTTTCCCAAGAGTTCTTTCCCAGATAAATGTCTTTCTTTAAGATATTCTTGCTCAGTTCTCAGAGCACACTAATTTTTGGGCAAGAGAGCAAGGTCAGGGGAAGAGAGTTGTTTATTTCTTCTGTTTTTAGTAAATGTTGTAGTTTGTTGAGGGAGTGTAAGGCTTAAAGCAAAGAAAGAAGTATCTATATGTTTTTAATTGAGTTATACTTATTTGTAAATTCCTGGCTGCTGTTTCCCATGCTTCAATTTCCCTGATCTATCTTGCCTCATTACTACCAATAGCCATGATGGTGATGGCAGTGATGAGGCCACAATGGTCACTTACTGGACACATATGCTATGGTGAGGGCTCTAAACATGTTCTCTTAATAATTGAAGCCTTCCAGTAGTCCCTGACTATGGCACTTCTTAGATTTTTCAGGTAACACTCAGACCTGAAGTTACTAGCCTTGTCTTATTTGTTGTGGTCATTTGCTTGTTTGTCTTCAAATCTGCTCCTCACCTTTACCCTTTTCTGCTTGATGCCTCCAGGTGGAGTTTTCCAGGCTCATGTGTCATCTGGTTTCCAGCTCAGATTTGCTAAAGGGAATCTGTGGTGAAAGGAGGCACGGCGCTTCTTTCTTTTCTGCTTCTGTGGCTTGGGCAATAATGTGTTTTCTTCCATTGCTCCAGCCCTTTGGACATGCCTCTTCTCAGCAGTGGAGGCCAAATACTGTAGATAAGTAGGCGGTCTCAAAATCCTGTTTGGATTATCAGCTTTTGCATCGTAATGTTTCTTCTTTTTGAAATTCCCAGAGCGCTTTCTGACTTCCTGGGCCACGGATAGCAATCAGCAAGAACAGATGGAAGAAACCGCACCAGGCAGAATGGAGAGACCTCTTGTGACTTAAAACACAGCACAGTTTGGTGCCTCTGTTTGGCTAAGTATACAATGGCATGATTGATGATTGGTCTATAAGGTTTTTAAGGGTTCCCCTACCATTCTGTTCTACTAGAACTACACGTTTTGAAAAGAACTTTTCTCATATAACAGTTTTAAAATTGCTTTAAAATGAAAGACTAGGACCCTTTTTCAAAAAGCAGGAAAAAAGTGTCATTAAAGATACTGTAGGGGCTGGCAAAGTGGCTCAGGTGGTAGCGTGCCTGCTTAGCAAGTGCAAGGCCCTGAGTTCAAAACCCCAGTACCACCAAAAAAAAAGATAAAAACACCGTAAATAAAGATTTTCCTTTAAAATATTTTACTACTTATAAAGTACAATAGAGGTAGAACAAATATACAACTGATGACATAAATCCCAGAGTACAAAATATGATATGATCATACAATGTAGACATAATAATATAGATGCAATAATACAATAGCTAACACATTATTAATGTGATATTTTGATTATTCATAAGACTTTTCAGACTTGGTTTTCCACAAATTCAAATAGTAGGTCATCATAATTTAAACTTTTAGCAATTTTATTTTCAATTAATACAATTGAAAGTGACATTAATTGCTCTTGAAAAATGACAGTTTGCAAATAACTTTTGAGAAATTTACATTTTGATGAGGATCTTTCTACTGACATAATTGTTTATTAGAGCTGTTGTGACTATTTTCTAACCTATGACAACATTTGGGATACATTTCTGATCAATTATTTTGAAATAATTGTAATACATGTAAAGCCGATCATTCTCATGGGGCAATTTTTCTAAAAATATTTAGTTTTTCATATAAATCAGTTTTATGTAAATCTAAAGTTAATTTTAAATGTAAATTTATACAATGGAATTTTAATGTTTTCTGTGACATTTTCTGTAACTTATGGAGGTTGTATAAGAAACTAAATGTGGCTTTATGATATGTATAAAATTCAAAAACCTGGTTTATGTATTCTACT